GATATTTCAAATGTAACTAGATGGCATATAAGGAATGTAAAAGTAATCATGACATGAACAACAAAGGCAGAAGAATATCCAATTCTCATTACCTTTGATGAAATAAATATCACTCCAACTATATATAGCACATCAGAAGGCCATCAATTACACTTTGTTGAGTTATATGTCTGAATAAAAGGGAGCATCTATTTTTCCATTCTGACATGTATTACACATGCAAAAGGGCATCACTCGGTGGAAACACCGTTGAATGATTTGAATGAATAAATGGGAGCATTTGTTTTTCCATTCAGACATGTTATACACACCCAAAAGGGCATACTTGAAGGGAAAGAATAACCACCTTCAACAACAACTAGGCAATTATTATAATATAACATTGTACTACATGTGTTTGATATATAATTTATGGCTGAGTAAAACCTATGGAGCTAAATAATAAGAACAAACGTGTTCTTAAAATAACATAGGCTAAGTGCAATTTATGTTCAGGCCCACATGCATTTTCACAAGGCTAACAAAATTAGTCATGTCAATCTACAATAACTGCAATAAAGATTAAAGAAATCATAGCTGTTGGGCAAGCATCCTGCATCATCAAATTGACATAGAAAATTAAGTTAACTAGTTCTCTGAAACTCTTCTCCAAATATTAAGTAGAGAACTAGCACTAGTTCATTAATGTGAAAATTCTGTTAAGGCATCCAACAAAAAAGCAATTGGAAGGTGGAGGGGCCCAACTTATTTATAAGGCCACTAGAAACCCCAAAGTTAACCAATGTGGTTTTTCTATTTCACACTTCTCACATGTAGGCTCAGTAGAACTGATAAACTGAGCAAAAATATACCATGTTAACTTAAGGCATTTGCTCTAAAACCAATTAGTAATTAGTAATAGGCTGAGATACCCAACATATTTATAAGGTTTCCAAACTTGACTAATGTAGGATTTTCCACATAACAAACTCCAAGAGGCAAGATAAAAGGAAAAAAAAGGAAGAAAAAGATATCATTCAATACATTTCACTGTTTCCTTGTTATTCACAATAACAGCCTTTCTAGTATATGGTGCCAAAGTATGAAACATCTGTGTAACAGATAAACAAATAATTGCAAATACTGACAACTAAGCTAACATGCATGCTTTGGGGACAGGGTTGCCATGCAACATACTGTTGAACTACCTAAAGGCATACAAATTGGTTTTCTATTTGGTTTCCTATATCAGAATAGCATTTTTTTTAACAGCAATAATTCCATTAATATTCAAAGATTAACATCTATCTGCACATGAGTTATATCAGAATAGCATTAACTATATATTCAAAAAATTTTCAAATCATCAAACCAGAATCAAACATAGAACACATAAAAGTCTGCCTTTTACGCTATCATCACAAAACACTAAACAATATATATATATACATATATCAGAGGCATGAACTTAAGATGAAACCAACCAAAAGAATAGTAAGATGATAAGAACACCACACCTTTTACAAGATCCATTTTTACCATTCAAAAGCACATATATGTCAATAATAGAACCACTATCACCCTGAAGTGCCAGAGCTATGACATTAATTGCATCAAATCGAGGATCAGGTTGCAGATCCCCTCTAGATTCTGCTTGAACCTGTCAGAAAGAGTGGTTGTCAGAGATCTCAAGATAAAAATTTTACAAATCAAAATAATAGCAATGGTATTATTAGTTTCCTGAAAAAAAGCACATTAACAAATGAGGTAAATAGAAGAAAAAATATGCAAGGAAAATCTTCTAAAGTTCAGATTTTAGAAAAATCTCAAATTAGTGTTTATAAGATCCAAAAAAATTAAGAATGACATTAAAAGGAAAGAACAAGCATAGGTGAAACACCATCTCCTTTGTCAGGGTGATAATCAATAATAATGGAAACAAAAGAAGTGTCTGTTAGCTGATAGTGAACAACTTATAGTTGTTTATAATTCAAATACTCTTATTCATTAGTTAGTCCCAACCATTAAACTATAACCAATGACCAAACTCCCCCAAAAACAGCTCTTGGAAAAGCCCCATTCCATGATAAGATATTTAGCCATCAGATAGTCAATCTAAATGATAATATTTATTATGCAAACAAAACTACAGAAAGTGTGGCACAGTTAATATAATAATATAAAACTTTGCATTTTTTGTAAGGGAACTCCTATGACTGAATCTTGCAACTAAACCCGATGCCTTATAGATCCATGAAAACAACTATTAATATAATAACATATAACTTGATGATACAGTTAGCAATATTCTAGGTTATTTTGTTAATGCTAGTAAAACAACATTACTATAAAATATCAAATTAAATATAGGTGCATATTAGAACAGGGTAAAGCTATTCAAAATACTCAGATATCAAAATAATACAGATAAGAGTTCCCCAGAAGAAAAGAAAAGCCTTCTAAGAGAAACATCCAAAAAAATAAGGCTGCAGTATTGGACTTCAACTTGAGAGTTCAAACTTCTTTGGAACAAATTTTGCGTACAAATCCCACTTTGCACATATAAGAGACTCTGCAATAACAAATATGTTATTTTTGTTACCTCAATGCTTAACAATGTAAGTTGTTGCCCAGCACCAACACTTGCAGGATCTCGAAACCCAATCTGACTTAATGGAGTGGGCCTTGATTTTCCATCTGGACCTGAAATCTGAGATATATCTTGTGAGTCATCAGAGGATGGATGTAATTTTTCAATTGTTCCTTCACCAGGCAATATTGCAGTCACATTGTTACTGTATGGCTTCAACTCAGCAGCCAAGGTGACATCCTTCGCTTTATGTGATTGATCCCATGTGGGTCTTACAGAAGACTCAACACCAGGCTCTGTGTCCTTGGTAGAATCATCAGGTGAAAGGGTGTCCAAAACATTCAGACTTTGAGAAGAGCCTGAAAAAATGGTAGAACACTCAACAAAGATTCCTATAGTTGTTCTTTTTACATAAGAAAAACATGGAAACAATTTACCTTTCAAAGAAGACAACTCGACAGGCACTTTGTTGATCTCTCCAAGACTACCTAGAAATCCACAACCAGCCATAATGGATAAGAAGTTCAAAAAGGTATGAAGAATTATGCGGTTCGATCAACAAATCTAGAGTCAATACCTTCATTACTACACAACACCCATCTATTTACAGAATCAGCAGAAGGGGGTGACAAAAAAGGTGTCAACAGATACAAAAATGAGCCATCATTTTGACAGTAAGTAGGTATTTCCGCAGAAGCTTCTTGACAGAAATTAGAGTTTTCATTTCCAATGTTCTTTTGTTTAACTTCCTCCCCTCCTTGGCAATCTCCTGGCAAAAATGGGAGGATTTGATCCAAAGCTCTACCTTCTAAACAAACAAATATGAGATGGTCAGCCACAATCTGCAGGCAACTACATCATAGGACTGGTGACCAATAGATTGAAATATGCATTTCCACCAGTATTCATATAGGTTTACAATCCTACTGCACTCATGCAACTATAATGAGAATCAGTCTTCATCAACTCTTTTTAACCATCAACCTGGTGAACACTCACACAAAAAATAATAATAATAACAAATGAAATCTTATGATGGTGTTGACACATAAATGAAGAGGCATCTTGCCATATAACATCTTCAACTGAAGGCAAGTCACAAACTAACAGCACTCAGCTCTATTTACAGCACGGTATTGACATACAGCATTTAGAAAGAGCGGATGTGCCTAGAGTGACTTCACAATCTATGCTCTCTCACCATTCCACATGCCCAAAGTAAACTTTATTAAGAACTCACCAATGTTTCTTAGTTACTTACAGCTTTGACAAAGAATAAAGAATTTATGTACCAAGAAAGAAAGGAACTAAAAAATAACAAAAGAAACCTAACTTATCAGGAACCAGGAACCAAAACAGTAAGCTTAACATCCCTTAAAAGAAAATTCCACCCATAAGTTATTAGGCTCTGACATCCATTAAAAGTTTCTTCATTCTTTATATTTCCCCATTCTGAAAGCAAGATCAAATTAAACAAACAATCATTGAAAAAACTTCTTATGTAGCAGAAATTAAATAGCAATAAAAGAAACAAGCAATCCAATGGAGGAATGGAAATGAACCTGATGTTCCTTGACGATTTCCTCGCTCAACATCAGGTTTTGGGATAGTAGCTGAAAGGGAAACGTCAGCAGATGCTACACCAATCCAAGCTGTTGTTGGATGCTCCTTGCAGAAGGTCTCAGTAACTAACCCTGCCGATGTTGTGTCTACCTGGCCAACTGTGGCAGGTAAGTATCCAGGCCCACATAAACCAATATCTCCTTCCTGTTTATTACCATTACAATCCTCATGCTGCATGTCAGATGGCACATCTGCTCCAACAAGCTTGTAAATTGGCAAGGAATCTATCCCTGCACGGCTGCATTTGTGGATGTTACCATGCCTAACAGGAAAAGCTGATAAGCAGCTTGCTGGACAACTCGTGTTTGTTTGTTGCCATCTGTAATCCATAGCAGAAGTAGACTCAGAACCTATAGGTCCTGCAGAAGTTGCTGCAAAGTTGGAAACTGTACTATTAGAAGTTCCCAAATGCTGGACGGAAATTGTAGAATATTGATTTTTGCAGTAGAAAATATGTGGTATTTTCTCTTCTAGTTGCACTGGACCTTTACTGACCAGCCGTGGTTCATCATTATCAGACAAAAGGACTGCAGTACCATCCACAGAACCAGAATAAGTAGGTCTGGAAGCAACAGACTCATCAATAACTAATGGCTTATAGTTGAGAGACCCAGCAGCTTGCTTCTCATGCACATTGTCATGTAATCCATAAAAATCCAACTGCTTAGGGTAGAGGTAGATATCCTCTTCCTTTTCTCCTTTCAAATTAACTTTTTCCATCCCAAGAGAATCAGATTCAGCAGTCTCCATTCGGTGGCTTCGCTTTTTCCTCATCAAATCCCGAACAGAGCATCCAACCAATGTGGTTGCTTCCTTTGTAGCATAATCACTGCTAGGTATATCAGTGATTAAAGAATCAGAAAGTTCCCCCAATTTGTTTTCAGCAGAGAAACTTGTACTTAATTCTTTAGTTTCATTAGCACATGCATTAATTGTTTGGAAATTGGTAGTATCCAAGTCATTGCTAACATTTTTAGCAATAGAAATTGGCAAAGAGCCCCAAAGATTATTTTTCCTTTTGCGCTTACTACTAATTCGTGCACTACCATCCTGTTGTATGAGGTGTTGTGATTCTTGTGAAGATCTCTTATATTCACTTTCAACTTCCGTTTTTGTTGAATTTTCAGCCAACTCAGCAGCTGTTAAGAATAGATCATCAGCAGAGCCATCTGTTTGAGGGATCTTTCTGTCCAATGAAATTTGAGTGTGATCAGCCAAAGGAGAAGAAGATCCTTCTTTCTGATCCTCAAAGTTGACTAAGTCCTCAATTGAATCAAGGATGTCCTGGCACTCTTTTTGAGATTCACTATCAAAGTCCAAACTAGCTTTTTCTAGCACCTTATCAATGGTTGTTGCAGGCAACAGAGGAGTCAGAATAGTCTTGTGAATAAGTTCATCATCTGAGTTTATCTCTTCAGCAGCCTGAGAAGTTGCAAGCCACCTTAAAAGCTCCAGGACTTCAACATCTCTAGCCTGCAATATGAATTTTATGAAAATTAAAAGTTAAAACCCAAATAATGCACAACAAAACAAACAGAAGTCTACAAAGCACAAAGCTTCAAGTGACTTCAGTAATCATCAAGATTGATCATAACCTTTAATTTAGCACCCAGCACTGTTTATTCAAGATGTATCAGTACCACAATTTACAATATAACATCAGTTCTCTGCAAATTGAAGCAAAAGACTACTCTTATCAAGTCAGTGGACTATTCCCCCATCAATAAGTAGATGCTTGTATAGCAACAGTCCTGCCAACATTCTCGAGAAACTAAACTAAAACATAATTGGAGTATCCAAACCTTTAAATACCAACAAGTATGAATTAGACATAATAATATTTTGTCTCTGGCTCAGAGTAATATAGTAAAAGAAACAAGAAACATTGAAACATAAACATGACTACTTTCTGGGTTAAGTACAGAGCTCAAGTTATTACTACATGCATTGGATGCACTATTTCATATTTAATAAAAATAGCTTCAAGAAAGTAGAAAACAACAAATGCAACAGTTGCA